GAAGCCCCACAATCCTTGCCTCCAAGGAGCAGCCTGGTTTAATCCTCTCTAGGATGAATCTGTTTGTTTTCTTGGCAGTCCATGGTACATTCAATACTCTTCTCCAGCATTTACAATCTCAATAAAAAATATTTATAGTCTCAGAAACCTGGAAGGTTGCTATGAGTCTCAGTAAACTCAACCATATTTAAATGTTTAACTCAAGACTGATTTTAGGTTCAAAATAAGCTGTGTGACCTGGGAATACTGACTAAGTCTGCATCCAACAGTTGTGAAGAAAATTATGTGGTTGTGTCACCTTCAAAGTAAGAAGAATAATTTATTAAACTTAGTTGGGACCAAGTTGATATAAACTCATGGTGACTACATGTCCAATATAAAAATTCTGGACTTGTCTGCATTATCTTGACAATCATTGTTATATCTAAATATTCATATACTACCACTACTGTGTGTTTTGTGTGCCTTTCAATGTAGGAGACTCATCTTCTAGCACCAAATAGGCCAATATTCTGCTGTGATCTATAAAGTTTTAATGAAATGATTTTCAGAAGTACATCTTCAGATTCTCCTTCCAACTCTTTGTGTAGAAGCTCTACTCAAACCTGTGACCTTGCTGGTATTTGAAATATCAGCAGTAGAGCTTCAAACATCACAGCAACATGTAACCACTCTGTCACCGGATCACAAAATGACAGTGGTGGGGAGTTTGTTCAATGAGATAATCCATGAGAAGTCCTTCACACGCACTAAGTGCTCAATAAATGTTATATGTTACAGTAAAATTTAACCAAGTACAGGAAAAATGTTCCTTAAGAAGGAATTACCACATGTGCTTTATGAGAAGGACTCATAAATTCAAGGGTTGTAACAGCTATAAACTTAAGATTCTGACCAGATAGAATGACTCTCAGAATAAATTTTGGGTCCTTACTCAGAAGTGACCTCCAAATGAAGAAGGTATGGAGAATAGCCTCCTGTTGAAGGTTTGTTCACAAATTAGAAATTAAATGAAGAATTCAAAAAAAGGGTAAATGTCAATAACAAAGAGAGGAAAGATGGAAAGACAGAAGAAATAAAATAAATTTATTCTGCAGGTGGAAAGGCTGGCAACTTTTAACAAGATAGCAGGTTGTTTTCCAAAGGAACTT